GTTTAGTGTCTCCGAAAAACTGACGGCTGTGCGTTTTTCGTCTGCAATTATAGAAACTACCTATTTTTGAAAATTTCTTCGTTATCCATGCATTTATCTGCCGTTTTATTATCGGAGGTGTTCACCTGGCATTCCCAAAGCAAAACTTTACTGGACTCACTGTGAGATGTTGACGTACACTAAAATTTGAATGCACAGTTTCAAAGCAACCTACCTTTTCACTCAATGTGACCGCTTCAGTGTTGGACGCCTGCGTCTCCATCTGAACCGGCGTGGTCATTCTGGCCTTTTCTTCTGTCTCCTTCGTATTCTGTCTGACGATTTCACGGTATTCGGCCTGTAGCAGCTCTCGTTCTATTGCAGCATCTTGAGCCTGGAGTGACATTTCAAAAAGCTCGCCATTACTCTTCTGTAAATCCAGGCGTAGCGCGTCACGTTCTGATTCTAGCAAAAGGAGGCTTACTACAATCTTCTAAAAAGAGTAGAAAAGAATGCACTGAGGCGGTTAAAAACCCCAACTGTTGCTAGCAGAAAATGAAAAAAAACCATAGTTTTGCGCACACAAAGTTTGTTCACTTTTACTGAACAGAGAATAGTTGAACTGCCACTACAAGCGAATGTGCGAGTAATTGAGAAGAAGACGACTCGATTGCTGGGAAAATACTTTTATTCGCCTGACGTTTCGACATCCGTCGCGGATTCATCATCAGAGACCTTAATAGAAAACGGTAGCGGAATCGGCTCTTGAAGAAATTTGCTGGTGTCTAGTAGACAACCTAAAAGGCTTCGTTAGGATCGACGCGGTGATTCGCATCGACAAGGTGGACGAGAACTGGACTCAAGACCAATCTAGTTTTGTCTATATTAAGCCAGACTGTCATGTGTTCACGTATACTCCTTTGCAGGCGTTTCCATGTTCGGCTAATGTATCCTGCTCCACAGGAGCACGTGGAAGAGTAACTTCACGTTGATATGGCTTTTTAATAGGGGTCGATTTTAACCTGTTCAATTCTCCTATTATCATTATTAATGCTATCATACAGGCCCGATGATGAATTTTCGCAAACATAGGCTTGCCAATTAGACTTTTCAAGTAAAACATGGGAAACTTTTGCAGGACTTGAATATAATTTTTATTCGTATCGACGCCGAAAATCAATAGCCAAATGCATGCTACTTAATAAGTCATTTTTTATCGAGTGTGGCCGATAAGACGTACAGACAACAGCCAGCATTCCGGCGTGTATGAACTAGTTTAGATAAATTTTAAATTTTCACTCAGGCAATCTCTTCTAATCAAAAACTAATTTCAGAATGTTTGCTAACGTTTAATGAGGCCTTTCGTGTAGAGATTGTGTATGTAAGCCGTTCTGATTCAGAATAGTATACTAGGGTTACGTTTAAACCAGTCCTGTAGTCCAGCTTGTTAGGAGTTTAA